CCGTGAGGTAGATTCCTTGTATAAGCGGCCGAACTGTGAACGCCATGTTCCAGGAAGTGGGTCGCTAAAATAATTCTCAGTGCAACGAGTGAAATCTTGGCAGAGAAATTCCTCGCTACAAAACCATCAGCAACTCTCTCTTAGTTTGAGCATGGAGGTAGATTCTACCTCCACGGTTTGAGAAACTTAGAATCAACGTTGAAGAGTGGTGAGTACACATTTTATTTACGAGTCAAAGTTTAATAATAATAATAATAATAAAAATGATGATGAATTATTTAAAAAACGCTTTCCATGTCAATGACATCTCAAAGCGCTGTACAGTAGAATGCAAAAATCAAATTAACTTTAAACAATTAAACAAAGTAACAGGAGTTATAAAACAAAATTAAAAATTAAGCAGTAAACACTAAACATTTAAATTGAAATATTAGCTGATGCTCGGCACAAGAGAACAGGAGTAGAGGTGGACAGGCTTTATGAATAAGTTAGTCATTTGTCATCAATTCTCCAGCAATAAAGTAGGGAAAGGATAGAGCGTGTCAGCAATTGCATCACGAACGAGGGAGGCTAGCCCTGTTTCCCAGTTTGCTGGTTCTTATGGGTGCGGTGGACAGGGTGTTTGGCGCGTGAAGGGCGAAAAGTGGCCACCTGCGTTTCTGCTGGCAGAAAAGTAGGAAAGAAAGTTTTATCAAGTTTTTATAACATGCAGTTTTCGACTTTTCAGTTATACCTCAAAAGCAGAACAAACGTTGTTCGGTTGTGCATTTGTGAATTTTTCTGTTCGATCGCTGGCAGCCGAAAAGTGGATAATCTGCTTTTCTCCTTTCGAGCAGGAAGAAAGGAGGGTCAGACGTTTTGACAACAACCCTGAATTGTACATTTTTTCACACCAGAGAAGCAGTGGCCATTTGCGTTTTTGCCATCCAAGGGCCATGAACAGGGTCGTGAACCTTTAGTTATGACCTTTCTGTGAGATTGAAGACGTATACCAATAATTACGGTCCACCTATCTTTTGTAATATAAGATTCCAATGTTTCCCAAGCAAGCCTGTGTGTCTATTGGATGATAGCTGTAAAACTGCATTTCCTTTTAGCTGCTATTTGCTCTGCCTCACAGGGACACTGTTACTGCCGTGTGGGATTGGTCCCCAGGAAGCATGGTTAGGTATTGGTTTCTACGTCTTCACTCCCCCAAAACGGAAACGGTCGTAACGTACCGATTCATGATTCCATTCACTGCCCACTGAGAACAGAAAAACAGATGGCCACTTTTCGGCCACCTATTTTAAAATCTGCCTTTCTGGTATCACAAAAGCAGAAAGGTTGATTTCAACTTTGATTTCAAAGACAAACGAGTTTGACGTCAGGAAATAGTTGCAGGAACGTATTCTCCTGATTTAAAATGCATTCCATATGGGTAAATTCGCACCACTTATAATGGATTTGGCGCAGTTATATGGCGTTCATATTTACCTTCATATATTCATTTATGAGCTGGCCAAATGTCACGCGTCAGAGTTGTCATTTTACCAGTATTCTGTTTTACACAGTTTGGAGGATAGTCATTTCAGTGACTTATTACTTTCGCCAACAATGGCCGACGCCAATGCCTCGATGTCGTCGCTGACAGACTCTGATAGGTGCGCCACCGCTCTTAGGCTGGTCCTCCAGCTGATCGAAGCGCCAGGTGTGACCTTCGACAAGAGAATCGGCGTTCTGAACAAGATCAAGGAGACGTGGGAGAGGAATGAAGACGTTGTCGTGATAGCAGTGAACGAGTTACCTGGTAAGATCAAATACATGTATTTGTAGAACCATGTAACACCACTCCCTGTGAACTGGAAGGTTGGAAACTGTGTAGCGGTGTGCCAAGAAGGTCTACAATATTGAAAACATTCTGCTACATTTAATTACTCATCCCAGGACTGCTTGCTCTGTACTACAAAAGCAGAACAAGAAAGCATTACCCAGACTTATTTTCTGTTCATTCTGAGNGGCCAAATGTCACGCGTCAGAGTTGTCATCTTCCCAGTATTCTGTTTTACACAGTTTGGAGGATAGTCATTTCAGTGACTTATTACTTTCGCCCACAATGGCCGACGCCAATGCCTCGATGTCGTCGCTGACAGACTCTGATAGGTGCGCCACCGCTTTTAGGCTGGTCCTTCAGCTGATCGAGGCGGCAGATGTGACCTTCGACAACAGAATCGGCGTTCTGAACAAGATCAAGGAGACCTGGGAGAGGAATGAAGACGTTAACGTGATGACAGGAAATGAGTTTGTTGGTAAGATCAAATACATGTATTTGTGGAAGCATTTAACACCTCTCCCTGTGAACTGGAAGTCCAGAAACTATGTATGCCAATGCAAAACAAATACAATTAATTGAAAGCACTGCTACATATGAATTACTCGTCCTAGGACCGGCTAGTTCTGACTGCAAAAACATAAAAAGCATTAATTCTGCGTATATGTCTTACTGTTCAAAATTTGTTTCCACCCCTGGGCCCAGGTGGGCAGATGTCTGTCGGTAATCTACGGTTGTTCCGATTTGACAGACCACAGCTAGGAGATATGATCGGAGATTTCCAAGTGCATTATGACTTGGGAAATCATTGATGGGAACTGGGAAATTTGGGTGAATTTTATTAGCCAGGATAAAAAGTTCTCTTTGAAACTTGTATCCAGTAAAACATAGAATTGGGGAAAATAGCCCACTTTAGCAATTAGGAGAGAAAGGGATTTTTCATTTCATTTCCTTTTAAAAAGTGTGTAACCCCCCCAAAATGTATCCCACATGCACAGAATATCAGAAACACTGTGCTGGTACAAAATACGATCTTTTGTTTGTCTAGAATCTTTCATTTCAAAATACTAGAATACCACCTTGCTGTAACCATAGACTCCCACCATTTTCTCTGATTTCTTACGGCACCTTTTAACAACTAAGGTGCCTTATAATAATTTATGGTTATGGGTGTTTAAGGAAGAGTAAATAATAGACATCTGGTAGACCTTTTCATGACAACTCACTGTCAATAGCAAATGGGTCTTGCCAAAATGCCAAAACTCGAAACAAGGGATTAATACACATGTATTACCTTGTCATGTGAATGTTAAACCCGGAAAAATAAGTCTCCACAAAGACAACTCTTCAGATTGAGCTGTTTGCTCTTGTATGAAACCATAAGGTAACAAAGATGAGCAGGCAACTGCATAACCAGCTTCTGGTGTTTGCCCAGCAGGGAACAATCTGAAAATGGAGGGGGATTGAGCAAAACGTACCACCATGGGTTCAAACCATAAGATCCATCCATCTTTGTCTGGACAACCTTTCAGCAATGTTTCATCCAAACAAATAGCATCAAGCCTAAAATAAGACTTACAAAATAAAAAACCAGAGTGTCTATTTACCCTACACATGATTTGCTTGTTGACATTTCAAACTGCTGTTTCTGTCCTTTCTCCTAAGAACAATCGAGAAATGAGAGAATGGAAAATGGGTCTCCCATCAACAGAAGTTCACCGAACCGCTCAGAATCAAGGAAGCACCTTCGCACCACTAAGTTGAATATCTCCAAAAAGTACAACCTTCTTCATAATGAAAAATCCACGAGGGTTTCTAAGTGTAAGGTGCGTTCAAAATTTCTTCAAACCGTTGAGGGGTTCAGACGTGGTCGTCAGTTACACAAATGTAAGATTTGCAAGAAAAATGTCAGGAACGTGACCCGTCATATGCAAGTTCACAGCGATAAGAGACCACACCATTGCCCGAAATGCCCAAAGTGCTTCAAAGAACTTGCCCAATTCAAAAGGCACTGGGTCAAGGCCTACCATGGTAAATTGTTGAAATGTTATTACTGCTCGAAAAAGTTCATGAATCAAGGTGCGCGAAGACGTCATGAGAAGGAACACCACGGCGGTGACAATAAACAGACCGGCAGGCCAGATCCTGCCGCAAAAGGAAAGATCAAAGCAGCGCCCTCAGTTAGAAGAGAAAGTGATGGACCTAGTCAGTCTATCCAGAACACTGATCGACCTCAACGACATCCTCATAATGTCCAGAAGTCGAAAAGGGTACCCAATAATCCAAAGGGACAACCGAGGGCTGCACGCCTTCAAGGACAAACGGCTCCTAGCAGAGAGACCTTGAAGGAGCACGTGCGACGTCATAGTGCGAAACAGTATCCCATTATATCATCCTCTGCAGCCACCACCGGCAAAGACGTCATCGAATCATCGAGCGAGGAAGAGTTTAACCTCACTGATGAAGCTGATGGAGATTGGACCCCAATTGCAACCCCGACCAACCATCGCTCTGGGTCTGAATCAAACCTTCAATGCAAATTCTGTTGGCGACATCTCTCGTCCAACACTCGGCTTCTTGAGCACGAGAACTGTCACAAGGAGAAAAAGAAGCCTTTTCCGTGCCTGGAATGCAACGAAGTGTATTTCTCAGGACCAACCTTGTCATTACATTTGCGAAAAAAACATTAAAAAATTACAAAGGTAGCCAAGAGGGTAAAATTTCTTGAACAAAAAACACTGCTGAATACCTGCACTGTGACAGAAATAGCTCAAGATTAATGCTACTTTGTAAGACGTGAGCGAATTCACAGGGTTTATCGAAGCAGTTAAATGCTTGAGCCTTGTTCATGAAGTCCAAGAAACGACTATTCATCCACCTCTGTCGATTTAACCTAAAGGTATGTCTTTACTGGATAGTTCACTTGTTTAGAAACTGTTTGAGACGATGCTTGCGCGACTAGACGGAACCACATAAAAGACACGTCAAAGTGGACTTTTGTTATTTCATATAGTTTGATCATGTGGACTGAATTTGTCTTATTCAATATTTATCGCCATATGGCAGTCATTTGTAATGGCTTTTATTTCATCGGTAACCTAAAAACAGATCGTCTCGACCTGAGAATTTAATTGCATGATCATAAAACATACTTAAATATTAATATGTTGACTTATATCGCGAGAAGGTAGTGTGGGTTCCCATGCAACCCTGTGCATAGTCCACGAAGATTTTAACCTTACGCTGTTTGCATACATGGAATGCAAACAATGTTAAAATCTCTTTAACTTTTATGCATCTGTTAATGGTTCCTGATTTTTTTCAAAGTTCTATTTTGTTTAGCGTATAATCTTGAGTGTGTATATTATTTTCCTTTTAGTAAATCTGACAGCAAGTTTGCATGTTGATTCTCAGGCTGGATGTGTGGGTGAGTATAAGTAAGTAAATTCCTCACAAAACACACACACAAATGCATAATGCTGCCATATACATGACTGAATAAAGCAGGCAAAGTGCACTATGTACTTGTGACTTGTTTTCAAAGTGACTTCTTTTCCACCTGAGTACAGAGAAATATTTTTATGTATTAATGTTTCTAGACAACCAAATAACTGTTGCATGTATAACCGTATTTATGTGGGCTTAGGAGTCCGTTTAATGTACGTATGTTTACTGTTAGGAATATTATACAATTTATTTCTTCAACATGTGTGTGTTTTAAATACCTTGGTTCATATCGATATATAAGTTTGTTTTCTTGTAACTTACCAATAAGCCCTATTGACCAGGCATGGTTACATTTAAACATCTTATAATATCTTTGTACGTACTTGTNGTTCCTGATGACAATGGATTAATAACTTGACTTAGTGCCTTTTGACAATTTATTGCTAATTCAACTTTTCCAAGTAAACGTAGACTTTAAATTACATTAAGCAATTCTACAGTGATAATTTGCAGCTTGTTGAAGCTTTTATCATTTTGAGGGGGCACAATGCCCTGAGGCATAGTAGAAAATATTAAGAATACATTTTCTTGATGTATATACCAAACGGTATATTTATACAAATGTAACTTTACATGTACGGGAAGGGCAAAACCCCCGCAAAATACCTTCACGGTGACCATACAGTACTCAGTATGAAAACAATAAAGACCGACATCTGTCAGCGATATAATTGTGTGAGTGCGTAGACTCAACTAATCAGAGTTACCAACCTCCATAACAGGGTAGATGATCCATATTAATGAGTCGTTAATTTTAGTCAGGTGCTGTCAACATAAATAAAATGCTGTCACAGAAATACCTATACGTTGGCGTTCACAGGAGATGTTGGAATTGCTCTGTCTCAGCGACAGATTCAGACTCGGTTTCATGTACATATATTGCAGTGGATTATCACATTGAAGACAGTTGAAAAGCAATGAGAACGAACATACGAAAAAAATTCTCCTAAAATTAAAATTTACTCGACAAATAGAGCATCCAATGAAAAGAGTTTCAACTGCGCAATGATGGGTTCCGCTGCACTGATTTCAAAGTTAGAGTGAAGGGAGGTAGGGAAAGAAGGGAACCAGTGCAACTGCATAACAATGGAATCAGCAAACATTGGATTTGATTTTTTTCAAGATCATTCGTAATGGGATATCTAACGTCTTAACTTTTTGCTGATGTGCAGTGAAATGCTGTGACGAATGTACTCCAAATTTCTGGTAAGCTTAATTGCATTTCAAACAAGAAAGCTCTATGATTTGCATTGGCTAAATGTGAATGATCTAATGAAATCAATAAAGTTATTTGTGTGTGATTGGCTATTAAATTTGAAACATTTTTTGTAATATTTCCTTAATTAAAGCGCTATTGTATTGAAATCGGTAGTCGATTGTTGACTGAATAGTAGTCTTAGTTTGTTAATATAGATGGTTTATATTGTAAGTATTCCTACGCAGCACAGCATCCTTTCTCAATCTGTAATATGTGGCATACGTTTCATATAATATTTGTACAAAATTGTAAAATACCAGCGCCGTTAACATTTTCAAGATATTTCAAAACAGATTTTAACCTGACCCTAAGATTGGTCTGGTCTACAAATATTTACCATTAAAGTAGGATAAGAATTGCAGAATAAAGTTCGGGAATCACTCATGGCAACATGTAATATGTTTAACCCAAATTTGGAGAAATCATTCTCCTCACAGTTGAACAGGTCCTTTTTGTCCAGCTTCCCTATTCTTGATTCAGACTTTTCCTTTCTGGGATTCGAGAACGAGCACGTCATATTTTCAACAGGGGAGAGCGTCATCAACGCCGTAAAATGTGTGGCCCGTCTCTTTCGAAGATGTGTTAGTATTTATTTTTCATTACTATTCATTTTCATGGTCCGGCAATCGTCCGTTGACAAAGTAGATATTTTGAATACAGGAGGTTAGCCTCATTCCAATGTTTGCTGTAGCTAATCAGAGAATGCCACCAAACTGTTTCCTTCCCTGTGCTTATTTCACAACCGTTAAAGGTCATAATGATAAAAAAAATGGAGGTATTGCATATGGGTCGTTCATAATGTAATCTGAAATTAGGTTTCAGTGTAAAAAGGTCAGTGGAAACTATACCCTAATATTTACCTTGGGAAAAACTTAACAGTTCTGAGGTTTCATTTCTACTAAGGTTTTCGTAAAGCCTTTGAAATTTGGTTGACTTTTTGAATCTACAAGACAATAGTTGTGATGTTTATCTTGATTTGTCAAATGGCAAAGATCCGGTGGCGTAACATTGTGCCCAAACCGGGGATTGGATTGGGAGGAATGACTCTCCCGGCCATGGAAATTCGGAAAGCCGGGGGGGGCATTTGACATTACACAGGGGCGATGTATTCGTTACACAGAGGTGCGTTTGTGATCAGTATTAAATTCAGGCAGAATTTCCCTATCCTACATCAGAATGACATATTTATGGCTTTTGATTTGTTTCCGTTTTTGAGGTATATTGAATACAATTTAGTCTTTAGAAGACCACGGAAATCTTCAACATCCGCTTTAATGTTTTACTCACAAAGAGGGGGATCCAATAGCCATTCCTACCTCAAAACCCAGGGGATACATACCAGTCCCCCCACCCCCATGGATTTACAACCATGCACAGATACATTGACTACCATGGGGGATGAGTGATCGACATAGTCCGCGAATGATTTGACGTAGTTGTGTAATTCATTATTTCATAAATTACAATATCAAAATTAACTATCATGTCGTTTGCAAACCTTCACGGTTTGTCATGTGAAAGTGTTGTCGTGTGACTGTGTTTTCGCGGTGGGAATTGTTTAATTCAAATTTCCACATTAACACAAAACCGAAAGGATTCCACCCGAGTGAATTACCCACTACCGGTCACTACGTTCCCTGAGCATTTGTAAAACCGGAACCTGTGAGCCTGGACTGGTCCCCGGTAGGCATACGTAAAAAGGAAAAAGAAATGGAATTGAAAGACCCCCCCTCCGTGTTGCAATTGGTCATTGTTTGATCATACTTCTTGGGGAATTAGTAGGTACCAATGGTCTAGAATATCTTTGGGGTTTTGACAATAGTTTGGCTTATAATTGCTCAATGCTGTTCACTAAACACCAGCAAGCTTTTGGGATGGAATCAAGGGAAACAAGACGTCTGATGGAGTCAATGATCTTATGTTATCAAATTCATATGGAATCTAAGGAATTCTTTTCAGACACCAAGGGGGATATGTTAAGTGACAATAGGCTGGAGTGTGTATAGGGATTGGACTTGTTTGACTGTCCCATTTCGTGCCTGGTATATTCA